AGTATTTGTAACAAATACAAATATTTAAACAAATCTGTAAAAAGAAACATTACATGTAACTGGCCTCTATGCATACCTAGTACTTCTACAGATTATTACAACAATATGCACACACATACATCTTACTGTCAGATTATATTAAACTCTTTTTTTAGATTTAGACATATTCCTTGAATAAGTCATCCATGGAAATACTATGGCAAAATGCATTTTCAAAAACTAAATAGCGCTGCAATTTTGAATTCACTTTCCTCTGAGTCAGTGTCACTAAATTCAATATAATTTCTTTTGGAATAGACATAAAGCTGCTAGTGGCAAAGAATTAAGAGTTAAAGGTGTAAAAGAACTAAAGATTCCACTTTTTTAAAAGGATCTATTTGTAAATATAATGTGTTCTTGGTGAAATCTTAGAACTTTTCTTTTTCCATGCTAGTCTGTCTTTTATAATGAGCTATAGAAAAAAAATGAGCTATAGAAAAAATGAGTGGATTTTTTTTTGGGTGTGAAATTCACCTCAAAATTGAGAAAACTGCAATCATGGGGGAAAGGAAGATATCGCCCATAACTTTTTTTTTCATTTTATAACATTTTATAACATGCCTTACAAGCATATGTTGAATAGACTATTAATTAGTCTATTAGGCTATTAATAGAATATTAACATTAATTTATATTGCAAACTCCTCCAATCTCAAGACACAGTATTAATTTTAATTATACTCACAAAAAAGACACATCCCCAAAAAGTGCACTATTACCAACAGCCCCCCTGAGTCTCTGGAGAAAGGCAGCATACAAATTGAATTAATAAATAAATAAACTGATCCATTCCAATTGCAAATTGTCACAATGCTTCTCCTACATTAGTTAGACATTAACTGCTGCCATTACAGGATAAAGAGATTTTAAATGACAGAAGAATTGGTGAGTTCCCAATTATCATTAGTTCCTCATTTGAAAGCAAGATAGAAACAGAGCACTAATCTCATTTCACTTATAAAGAAATAAAAATGCATTATATACTCCTACATCATAAAGTATTTAGTTACCTTATGTTTTATATCTCCAAGACTTTTCCTCTTAAACACAATTAGAATAATCTGTATTAAATAATTTTTATTTGTTCAAAAATCTTTGATATTTATAGGAGAAACCCAAATATGGAACTAGGAGTGTGAGCCTGAAATGGATACCATATAACATATGTCAAAAAATATTCAGACTATAGTTTAAACTGAGAAGGCATTTGAAATACCTCTGAAATTCTGCAAACATCCCAGATATATTAGAAAATATTTTCTACATTCAAGAATCTCTATTAATGGAAGATGAAAGTAAATTAATGTTCCAGCTATTTAATGTCAGAAGGCCTCAGGAATTGATGGAATATCTACTTAAATATAGCACGCAATAGAAGAAGAATCAATAACTCTTTTAAGTAAACTATGCCAACAAATCTGCAGAATGATTCAGTGGCTGGCTGATTAAAAGAGGTCAGTCTACAAATCGATACCACAGAAAAGAGACTTAACAGAGTGTGCAAACTATTGCACAAGATCCTTACTTTGATATACTAGCAAAATAATATTTAGGGTTACTGAGTGTAAATTAGCCTTTATACATAAAGGAGCCACCATATTTTCTAGTAGCTTTAGAAAAAAATAAGAATCAAGAGCCAGTATTATTGATGCACTTAGAATAATTGAGAAAGCCAAAGAATATCAAAAGGTATTCAATATGTGCCTCATAGATTATAGAAAGGCCTTTAATTGTATCAGATATGTTAAACTGTAGATTATGTTAGGAAAATGGGAATAACTGATCTTTATCTTCATGCAATAAATGTATCAACAAAGGTATAAAAATATCCAATTTTTTTTTTGTTAAAAGTTGGAGTTGGGCATAATTAAATTGCTGTATATGCAATAAAATATAGCATCTTATATGTCAATTCTTTGAATTACCAGGAAAACTCTGAACTGAATGGGAACCTGAAAAAAGCAGTTTCTCCCTACTCCTAAATCTAGAGGAAGAAAAATAATTTTAAATTTTCATCATGAAGATCAGTGGCACCTGGAGAAGTTGGGTGAGGATGACCAAAAGATACAATGTATGGAGCAATGTTGAACAAATGTATACAGATATATAAGGGTCAAATCTTACATTATGATGCCATATCATTTCATTTCATTACAATATTATTATTATTGGTTAATCTTTAGTGAGATTCACAGCCTTTGAGGCTGGTTAATAGCTCAGCAGCTCGAGTCCTAACCAAGGACCTAGGAACTGTTAAGGTATCGTCGGAGAATGTAAGCTGTTCCCAGTAAGGTGGTTTTTTGTAGAGTCAAAATGTTCAAGTCCGGCAAATTTAGAATTTCTAAATAGCGAGGTAGCCCTTTGGGTATGGCTCCAAGGGTTCCAATTACAATTGGGACAACACACAATTTCTTTTTCCACAGTCACTCAACTTCAATTTGCAAGTTCTGGTACTTTGTGATTTTTTTCTTGCTGCTTATCTTCAATCCGTGCATCACCAGGTATTGCAATGTCAATGAACCATACTTTTTTCTTTTCAACTATTGTTATGTCAGGTGTGGACCAAGTGCCTGTCGGTCTGAATCCTAGAGTCCCACAAGATCTTGAGTTTCTCATTCTCTAAAACTTTCTCAACCTGATGTTCCCAGTGGTTTTTGCTGTACTCAAATCCAAACTTCTGGCACAATTTCCAGTGAATGATTTTAGCAACACGGTCATGGCGTTGTAGGTAGTCAGTTTGTGAAATTTTGCTGCACCCACTGATCAGGTGGTCGACTGTCTCATCTTTCTCATTGCAGAGGCGGCATTTGCTATTATTATTATTATTATTATTATTATTATTATTATTATTATTAAAATTTGTATACCGCCCTACTCCGAAGGACTCAGGGTGGTGAACAGCCAAATAAAATACATATAATACAAATGTTAAAAAACCATTAAAATACAATTAAATAATTGGCCCAGAAAATGAAATTTAAAACACCCCAAATTCATAAGACAAATTTAAAATTTTTAAAAATTTTTAAAAAGTTTAAAAGAGAGGTTAGGCCAGGCTGGCCTGCTGGAAAAGAAATGTTTTGATGGCACGGCGGAAAGCACGCAGGTCCGGGATCCTCCGTAACTCCGGGGGGAGCTCGTTCCAGATGGCGGGTGCCCCCACAGAGAAGGCTCTCCCCCTGGGGGCCGCCAGTCGACATTGTTTGGCTGACGGCACCCTGAGGAGCCCCTCTCTATGGGAGCGTAGTATAGCATATATTATATGTCGTATATATGCAAGAGGATTATTAATGATGATCTTGGCCAGGGCATTTGCTATGCATCTTATTCCAGACGGCAGGTATTGTTATGCAAAAGATATATTACTGGGGACCTGATAGATGGCATTGTTTAATAGAAGAAACCTAGAGTTAGCCAACTCTGCCAGATTAGTTTACCAGTCTAGGTTGAATTTATGCTATATGTAGTTAAAACGATAATGATAATAATGATAATAATAGTGGTCACTGTAGGCACATTTTTGCAAGTATTCCACAAGTAAAAACAAAGACTAATTGTTAAATAGTTGGATTAAAGAAACTGGTGACAAGCTTCAGACAACAGCTTCAGCAACTATTTATAATCCAGCAGCCAGATTCTCAGACAGACAGCCCTTTTATAGGGAGGGAAACCAGCCAATCACATTCAAGCATTCTTCCCACTTAAATAGAGGACCAGAGGGAAAACTATCCTGTCAATATCTAACACTAATTTTACTTGAAGAGTGCTCATATTATGCTATGCAAACTCCCTAATTTAGAGATTGCTTGAAAGCCAGCATGCTGTATTTTGTATCCCGCTAGCAAAAGAGCATTTGCAGAATATGGCTGTACATGCATAAACCTCAGAGACAGGAAACTAAAACTTATGCTCCTACACAAGAAAGAAAGAAAGAAAGAAGGAAAAAGTGACTATCATGCTACTCAGTCCTTCAATAATTTTGAGGTAAAAAGTAGCCTGACACATCCTTCCTCTGTGGTTTCATTAATGTACTTAAAATAATTTTAACATATATATATATATATATATATATATATATAGATAGATAGATAGATAGATAGATAGATAGATAGATAGATATAGATATAGATATAGATATAGATATAGATATAGATATATATAACTTCTCAGCTATGTTTTCCCAGCATGTATCTTTACTTTATGAAATTATACAGTTACAGAAATGACATGAATATTAAAAATACGTACATTAATACAACAAAAATAATATGTTCCAAAGTATTCATAATTCTTTTTCCTGCTATGCCAAATATAACATTCAAAAAGCTTTATTTCTTTTTGGAGTCACATAGTAAAATTGTGAACCATTGAGAATGAAGACATTATCCACTATGGGCTGATGATTTGTGTTTTTTTTGTGTGTGTGTGTGTGTGTCCAGACCACAGGGATCTCTTTGTATTTCCAAAAAAGTGATAGGAACCATGTTGAACTCGCTCTCTTCATCTACTTCCACTGACTGTCAACATGCCATTAAAAATAAATAAACCAGAGATAATTGAGAAATAATAGAATGGTAATCAGGGCAACAGGAGCATTTGTAAGCTTGCTTCATGTTAACTCAGAAAATACCTTATTTCTAACAAGATTTTTATATAGACAGCATTTGTCTATTTTCAAGCTGCCCGTGATTTCATTTTGCTTTTTATAGTTTTTAACTGTAAGTCTCCCAGTTATTGGAACTGAGCAGCCTCTAAATTAAAGCTAAACTGGGCAGCCCCTACACATAAATTCAAAGAATGTGGATGTTTCTTTCCAAGGTAATTCTAATACCAGAGATATGTATAGTTAGTCATCTCCCAGCTCTCCCTCAAATGGGGTGTGTATTGGAGGAGGAGGAGAAGTCTTGAATGCTGCAACTGGTCTGAATAGTTCTAACATTTCCATGAGTCAGGTGAAAAGACAGTGGCGTGGAAGAGAACACTTGCTGCTTTTTATTTGACTATTTACAGCTGCAAAGAATCCTGATGAATCTCTTCTGGTGTATATGTATGTTTAGTGATGTCATGATAGTTATGGAGTGTGATGCTTCCAATTTGAGGAAAATCTTTTCTTTTCTTTCTTTTCTTTTCTTTTCTTTTCTTTTCTTTTCTTTTCTTTTCTTTCCTCCCCTCCCCTTCCCTTCCCTTCTCTTCCCTCCTCTCCTCTTTCCAATGACTAAATAGAAAAAACATATCTGTGGGTGTATATCTGTCTCTGTGCAATTATTGTATCATAAAATTGCTATTTTTTTCAAACATTAAGGAAATAGATTTGGTGCTAATAGCTTAAAGATGTTATGAAATTTCTATGTAAAACATCTCCTGGACTTTAATACATTGATATCATTACAGATGCTTTGGTCATCATTCACTGCTGTTTAGACAAAGTTTCAGGCAGTCAGGATTTGGACCTATGTAACTCTTCAGGTATGTATGTCTGAGTCTGTTTAATAATCAGAAATCAAAAAGACCTGAAAAGTATTACAAAGAAATAAGGTTGTTTTTTCTATTCATTCCTTTAGGCGAACTTCCTTCTCCAGAGCTATTTCTTGATGCAGGATCAGGTCATATGGGAGATTCAATTGTGCTGTTGTGTATGCATCCTTCAGAGGGTGTGGTGACAAGATTTTTTTTTTGCAAAGATAAAATTCTTCTTTCAGTCCGAAAAGCAATACTTTACCTGGGTATATATAAACTCAATGTTTCACAAGATCTTCGTGGTCAATATTCATGTGGGTACCAACATAGGAATGAGATGAACCAGGAGACAACATCTGCACTCAGTTCTGTGCGAAATTTGACTGTCCTATCAGGTAAGAGTATAAAATTCAATGCAATTTATTATAGAAAAATAAATGAATCAATAAATAAAACGAACATGTAATGGTTTTTTTGGAGTACTCCTCTTTATATATTCTTTTGGTTTACTTCACAATATTACCCATATCCCAATTTTGCTCCTAATTTTTGCTCCTAACTATGGATTTCAAGGGGATTTGAAGTGTCAAATAGATTTGGAAGACAATATCCTGCCTGTCCTATATTAAGAACGAACCCTCTGATTGTAGATTTTTTAAGCTACACTTAAAAACAAGCATGTGGAAAATGAAAAACATTTTTCACTTTGCTTGTTAATAATGGTATGTGTGTGGGGGGTGGGAAGAAGAAATAGGTCTTAAACCAGATTTTCGGAGAATACTATTTGCTATTAGATTTTTTAAAAAATTATTTGAGGTAGAGTATTCTAATCAAGGCTGTGACATGGCTGATTTCTTAGACGTTTCAACTAGAACACACTGCATTACAATATTTTGTCACAGGTTTTGAATATTGACTTGCTTATTTGAGATGTGGAAGAGATTTTTGCAATATTGCTTGTAAATTGCATTTTTTTAATTGACTCCTTGTTAAAGAAAAAATAGGAATAGTAAGACAATTTTATTACTCCTATCTGTCAGAAGATGTGATAGCAAAATAAAAATGAATCTGATGATGTAAAAAACTTCATCTTTCTTTCCTGTTTGGTTGGTGACCTTAATTTTTTGAGAGGATCAAGAGCGTAATTTCCATACCTATTTCTTATTTGGATGCTAAGATCAGCCTAATGAAATTGCCATTTGTTTTGATGAATTATAAAATTCTACTTGTATTAAAGAGAATGATCATGAATGATGTTGTGTTTAGTTCTACTATTCTAAATAATGTAGTGTATTACCCAAAATATTTATCTGTCTACAAGAAATTTTCTAATTGCACTAAAAGAATCGTTAGAAGTGTGCATCAGTTTTCCACAATATTCTTGAAATATTCTCTCTCTCTCTCTCTCTCTCTCTCTCTCTCTCTCTCTCTCTCTCTCACACACACACACACACACACACACACACACACACACACGCACACACACACTTTTCTTTGTTATACATAAAAACTCAATATTCACATTGACAGTGTGTTGTCTGGGTACAATTGATTTTGAATGATAACAAAAATTTTCATGCTGCTATTTATAACAATTTCATCAAAACATATTCATATAAAATGCTATAGTCCTAAGGACACAAAAAAACTATTTCTAGTTGTAAAAACAATGCTGTTACTGGGGGAAAGATTGACATGAATGCTAAATATAAAACATAGAATTCTAGATTTGGAATTTTAAAAAATTATATATTGTCTTTTTCAATAATACAAAAAGTGATATAATGACTTGAATAATGATATTGCTTGTCACAATCTCATTATTTTCCAAGAATTGTGGACTACAATGTTTATCAAATTCAGACAGGAGCGCTAAGGGAGAGAACTGAAATTAAATCTCTTAGCAAAAATACCAAATTGCACTACTAGCTTTGAGCAATTCACCCTAATAGATTTACCGCTAACTCCCACCAACAAAAGTGGAGTAAAAGATGATCCACAGAGTTCCCCTTCTCATGCTCACTTGTGCCCTATTGCCATACTTTCACCCCTATTTCTCATCTTCTTACTACAGAAATGTACCATTTTTCTCCTTCTTTACACTTAAAAATAATGAAGGAAAAGAGGATTGAACTATGGATGAGGGAGCATTAAGGGAGAACAAGGGAGCAAGATAATGTGCTGATAAGTGCTAATCCAGAAAAGCCTGTGGACATTTCCCCCACTGTTTGTTTAACTTCAACAGGCAAGATAAAAATTATCTTGACTCAGGAGAAATGACACAGGTATACCCATGTAATTTTCCTACCAAGTCAAGATAATACCCATATACTATACATATGTAGCTTTCTTAGAAAAAAGAAAGAAAGAAAATGGTTTACTATTGACATCTTTTAGAAAGTAAAACACTAGCATCTTTAGCTTTTAAATTGTGACAGTGAGCATGAGCTTTTCAGGGTCCTTTAATGAAGCATTGCTTGCCTGAATTCCATAGCACTAATTCTGATTCTGTATCTACAACAGCCAAGGAGGAACACATTTAATTCTTTGATTTAATTGGGCTTATTCTTCATTCTTCATCAGAGAAGAAATGGGCCATTATATCTGGAGTTCTAGTCTTTGTCATTCTGACTCTGGCTACCTTGATTTGTTACTTGATTAAGAAAGGTGAGTAATAATAGGAAAAGGGTAATGTAAGAAGGTGGGGGAAAGTACTGTCTACATTATAGCAGGGATCCTCAACCACCACTGGTCCATGGCCTGTTAGGTACTAGTCTGTGGCCTGTTAGGAACCAGGCTGCACAGCTGGAGATGAAAGGTGGGCTGTAAATTGAGTGTGCGAGGGATCTAGATTGCATTCAAGACCATTTTTTTTTTTTGGATTTGATTTATATGCCGCCCTTCTCTGAAGACTCAGGGCAGCTTACAATGTGTTAAACAATAACCTTCATATTTTTGTATATTTATACAAAGTCAGCTTATTGCCCCCACAATCTGGGTCCTCATTTTACCTACCTTAGAAAGGATGGAAGACTGAGTCAACCTTGAGCTTGGTTAGATTTGAACTTGCAGTAATTGCAGGCAGATGATGTTAATAACAGTGCTTTAGTCTGCTGTGCTACCAGGGCTCCTCCTTCCTCCAGTCCATGGAAAAACTGTCTTCCAAGAAATCAATCCCTAGTGCCAAAAATGTTCGGGACTGCTGCACTATAGGACATATACTATGGTTTTATGCCAATCTTATGCCAGTCTCATCATTGGAAGTTTTTAAGAAGAAGTCACTTGTCCAAAAGTGTATAGTCTCCTGACTGAGCAGGGGGCTAGATTGGAAGACCTCCAAGGTCCCTTCTATTATTCCATGATTCTCTAAAGATCTCCTGCTTGAGCAGGGGATTGGGCAAAATGACCTCCAAGATCTCTACCATCCCTATTCTTCTATGATTCTGTAAAGGTCTCATGCTTGAGCAGGAGGTTGGACTAGATGACCTCCAAGCCCTTTCCATTATCCCATGATTCTTTATGGATCTCCTGTTTGATCAGGGGGGTGGACTAGGTGACCTCTAAGGTCCCTTCCATCCCTATTCTTCTTCTATGATTAGTCTGATTAGCACTGTTAAGTAGCATTCACCTACTTGTTCATTCTTTCTATATATGAATTTGGGGAAGAGGAATTTTTTAAAAGAGCCAAAATAACACTAATAAAACCAATAGCATAAGAAAATAAAGCTAAAATAGATAAATACAGATCAATAAATAGTTTTAATAGGCAACAGTTTTGGTGGAATCAGAAGTGGGCAGTTCAGGATGCACGATTCCCACACCCATGAAATGGATAAATAAAACAAAAATAGATAATGACTTTCCATACATCTCTTTCTGAGAAAAATTAAAAAGTCATTCAATACATATGACTAAAAAAATACTTCCTATTTGGCAAAAACTACAGAAATTATTCTTTCTCCCTTTCTCTCTCTTTTAAGCTTGTCAAAGATGGTTAAAGTCGGAAGAAACAAACCCTCAGAACACTACTTATTATTGGTAATATTTCTTCACAAACTTTGTTACTGATTACTCAACTTCTGTTTCAGCCTTAATATTTTGTTACCATACTCTTTCTTTCTAAGTCATCATTTCTCTACTCCTAAATATTTTATTAAAAACACATTACAGAAAATGAAACAATTTGAATTAATAATCTAAAGTGATTGATCTGTGGTAAAAGCTAACCTTATTTCTCATGTCATTTATCTTAGTGTAACCTTTTAAAAAAATCCAATTAGTATTACATTAATATGAGTGTAAAGATAGAAATTTAAAAAAGATTAAACCTAGATTTTGGAGTTATTAATTCAATAGGAACAGAGAAATTTGTGTAGCAGTTAAGGTACCAAGTTAAAAACTACAAGACCATGAGTTCCACTTTCACTTTAGGCACAAAGTGAGCTGGATGACCTTGGGCAAATGACTACCTCAAGCCTAGGAAGCAGAAAAAGTCAAATCACTTTCTGAAATCTTGTCAAGAAAATTGCCTGAAGTAGTCCATTTGCATTTGCCTGGCATTAAAAAAAATGACTCCATCTATCTATCTATCTATCTTTCTATCTATCTATCTATCTATCTATCTATCTATCTATCTATCTATCATCTATCTTTTTTCTCTGAAAACACGACCTACTCCAATAATAAGTGCAACCCTAATTTTTTTTGGGTGGACCTAATGTTACCCCTACTCCAAAAATAAGCCTGGGTGTGGGCGTGGTCAGCACGATTGCCAGCAGGGGGGGAACTGTCCGGCTGCAGCTGCAGCCTGCTGGCCCTTTGGGGCAGCGCAAATAATGCTTTTGCCCTTGTCTTTCTGGGCTCAGTGCTTCTGCTTGTTTGGCTGCTTCCCCAAAGTCGGCAGTTTCGTGGCCAGCTGCTTTGCTTTTTTCTTCTTTTTGGGAGGCTTGTAGGAGGCATGCATGGGAGCACCGGCATTGGGGAGGATTGTATCCCAGGATTTCAACACTGAAAGTTCGGAGTGGAGCCATTTTTGCAAAAGGCAGGAAAATCCCCTTCTCCATTTTCCTGCCATTTGCAAAAAAGGCTCCATTCCGAACCTTCAGTTTTGCAATTCTGGGATACATCAAAGGCTTGGAGTGGAGCCGTTTTTGGTGAAAGGCAGGAAAACGGGGAAGGGGATTTTCCTGCTTTTCATCCATTCCTCAAGCTCAGCACAGACTGAGGGAAAGATGGTAGGCAGGAAAATCCCCTCCCCCAGATTAGTTTACCAGTCTAGATTGAATTTATGCTATATGTACTTAAAACTGTTATGGAATGAAAGACTGAAAAACATTCCTGGGTCAGCCAGATACAGTTTATTGCGCAGGTTCAGAACCAGATTTGTACCTGAAAT